ATTAAAATCACTTTGCCCTGGCCAATTTATTATCGACTATCTTATGATCTCTTACGTTGGATAAATTAAGCAATTTTCGGATCTTATAAGTCATAATTTCAGTTCTAGTGCCCTTGTACCAACCATGACTGTTAATTTTAAAATTTTTCAAAATTTGCAATTCAGTTCTCCTTTAAACAAAGCACGTGAAACTTGATGGACTTACAAATTGTAATGTTATTCTTTCTCTGATAAAGTTTATTTTTAAGTGGACAGATTTTTGAAACTCGTCCCCAGTCCTCTACTCTTTTCTGAAAAGGAAAATTCAAAACCCGGTATGACCGATACTAATAACGTCTGCAAAGGAGGCTGATTTTATCATTGGAACTTGTTTAATTTAACAATATTTGTTATGCAATCTCTTAGGGATCAAAAATCAGTCAGCCACGCCCTTTTTTCCTTCCGGGATCATTTAGGGCGCTTTTTTGAAAATTTCAGACGAGCATCACCGGTACTTTTTTTTACCCCGGAGTCTTTCGTCAGGAACAGGGTCAGGGTTTAATTCCGAAATTATTGATGCTGGGTAAAAATTCACGGGGTAAAAATTCGGTCTACACGCAGGCTAGTACAGGATTTTCTCTGGAACAGGATATCGTTTTCAGCGATTTTACTCTGGAACAGGGTATAGTTTTCAGCGATTTCACTCTGGAACAGGATCAGGGTTTTGACGTCCCAGCGGCACGCCCCCACCCAAGTTTGGGGGGAGTACCTCCCCCCCCCCCTTCCGGGTCGCCGCTAGCCCCCCAAAACAAATTCAAGCTCCGCGGTCCCTTAAGGAGGACTGAAATGAAGATTCGTAGTTAGGTCATACATACTCTATATATGGTATTAGATAGCAAGTGTGTAGCGGTCCCTAACAAGCGAATAGAAGCTCCTAACAAGCGAATAGCGGCTCCTATAGATCCCTTGCATGTGACGTCAAAGCAGCTTCATCTGGAGGGCAAAACAAAAGATTTTTATCCTCTTGGGAACTAGAATCCATTGTTTTGTCCTCCAGTTGCAGCTGCATTCCCATGAACTGCAAGGGGTCTATAAAGGAATCCCAATTTACCGATAATACTTAGCAATGCAAAATAATTTAATTATCACAAACAATTCGTTGTTTGGCAGCGTAATCCCTCGTCAGATAAAGCGCTTTACACCAGTAGCTCTATTCGCTTGTTAGGGGCAGATATACGCTTGTGCCAGACCCTTGTGCCATATATGCAATACGTACTACAAACCTGCCTCAGGATCCCTCAGGATGCCTGTTGCGATGAGTTGTTGGGCTTCCTGTGCTGTCGATAAATATCCTCTCCATACTCCCCAGAGTTAAGTTSTCTATGAAAATGGCGGCTCCATGTGGCTGCATGTGTAAGATAGGACCATCCATTCTCAATGCTGATTTATCATGTTTAGCTACTGAGTGTCTCAAAATGTTGGACTGTGGTGCTGACTACTTACATCTTGACGTTATGGATGGGTATGAATAAGTCTAAATGAATGTAGCTCCCTTCAAACGTAATTATAATAATAATTTTACAATGTTTTTTTTATCGCAATTCCAAAAGCCATTTTGTACCCAATTTGACATTTGGTGCTCCTCTGGTAAAGTGTCTGCGAAAAAAGGTGCCAAACGCATTCTTTGGTTAGTACTAGTCAGGAACTACTTTATGTGAATTAAAGCTGTTCTCATCGTATAATGTCTAAATATTTGCAGATATGCATATGATGGTCGCAAATCCAGAACAGGTAATAATGCTTCTCATACTCATTAATTATTCATAAGGTATCCAGCCAATCCTTGATTGTAATTAAGTACCACGTTTAGTAACTGGAAACCAGAGGAAKCACTCCTACCTTGTATTCTACCTTATTTCCAGGGGGGGTTGAATAGGTTTTCGGATTGGCAGATCTGGACCTAAAATGACACACGGATTACGGATTTAAAGAAAAAATAGAGCGGATTACCGGATTCTTAAAACGTACCAGATTATGGATTTATTGAAAATTTAATGTCGGATTTCGGATTCTATAATGGCGATAATCGTGACTGCGAATTGTGCTAATTGTTGACTACAAAAAAATAACATAAGAAGTCACGAAGAAGGCCTTACAAATGGGCGAAACGAGACTACAGGCTTTGCGCTGTGTGGAAACGTCTTCTCTGAGCTTATTATGGCAAATATGGCAGCAGCGGATCTTGAATTAGCAGGGACTTATGATTTTCTTATTATCAATTGCTATCATGATTTAGGATTCGGATTAAAGCAAAACTTTGCGCGGATCGGCGGATTTTAGAAAAAAATGAGCGGATAGACGGATTCAGAGACCCTTATTCACCCCCCCCCCTTTCCAGTTACTTCTACCGTATTTCCAGTTACTTCTACCTTATTTCCAGTTATTTCTACCTTATTTCCAGTTACTTCTACCTTGTTTCCAGTTACTTCTACCTTGTTTCCAGCTATTACTAGCTAATGATAATCAAAGTATTAGAAATAATCAATTCAATATAGAATTAATTTAGTGAAAAAATGTCTTTGATACATGACTGCATCACAGTCAACGCCTCGGACTGGAACTAATTGTGCGGACTTGAAATCCCGTCCAGTCCTCATTGTCAGACTTTAAACATTACGTATCATCACATAGTTGGAAATAGCTTTGTATAACCAGCTATTTTTTAACATATTTATGAGTCAATGTCTAGTGGATAAATAATAATCATAAAATTCTTAATTGATAGTGGGTACAAGATATGGCAGATGCTGGAGCAGATCAATACACATTTCATTTAGAAGCAACAGGTACTAGAAATTGGTTGTAGAAATTGACAGTGCATTCTTGTCTCTGTCATGATTTTGTAGATTCATGTGCAATAATTACTGAATTAATTTTCAGAAAAACCATTGGAACTTATACAACAAATCAAACAAGCTGGTATGAAGGTAAAACCCTTTATACAAGTGAAAATCGTGTCTGTCATTCAAAGTATACTACAGGAAATTGGGGGCTGTAGCCCCTTAATACTTTTTTCTGACACTTTTTATTATTTGCTCACTAAAAACCATAGTTAATAGAGGGAGATATAATTGTAATTTTATGAAATTATTAATCCCAATAATCTCAAACTCAGCACCTTTACTAATTTTAATATGATCTTTCTTGTCCTGGTGTCTGTTTTTTGATTGCTTCAAACGGTATCGAGTTTGTGACTAGTCACCATTCCCTTTTTGAATTTCGGAACGGGCTAATTATTGTATGCACTGATTGCGTTGTTGCTGGAAAATTTTCAAGAATTGATGACAGATATCAAATGTACTCAAATGCTTTCATATCGGCGATAATAAATTTTGAATAGAACCTTAAAACTAAAAAAACTAGGTGTTGAGCCTCCCCTAGATATGCTTTCGAGTGAAGATGTGACCCTTCCCTAAAGCTTGCAAAATTGATATATGACCCTCCCCTCTCCCACTTAAGCCCTCCCCCCCAATAATTAACGTACCTTCCCTTAATAATGGAAATTTAAAAAAATTACTTTGACCTCTATACTAATACCTTTTGGCAGTTTCAAGGAAAAGTTTCATAGATTCACTGTATGAAATATGTTCTTGATACCCATCAAAATGCTGGAAATCACATTTCTAAGGTTCCAAATTTCCCTCTCCAACCCACCTTTGCCTCCTTGATCCAGCCTTTGATGGTTGTTAATGCTCTTTGCCCAACTTCCAACCCCCTAAAAACCAATATGCTCCACTGTCCCTTTACTGTACTATGTACATAAAGTCTTTTTCACTACGAAAGGTTTCTTGAGTATTCTGTTTTATTACATATCACAGGTTGGAATTGGGATTAAGCCAGGTACGCCAGTAGAGGATGTTTTACCATTTGTAGAGCATGTTGATATGGTTTTGGTCATGACAGTTGAACCAGGATTTGGTGGTCAGTCATTCATGGCAGACATGATGACAAAGGTACAGCCTTTGTAGCTAAATATCAGTGATTGTTGTAAACTTACTTTGAATAGTAGAAGGGCATATTATATGGGGGGCTTCTGAATCCCACAATACCACTGACAGAAAATCTTCTAWGATGCTGCAATATGCATATGTTGCAAACACCACACACTAAAAATGTCTGTTGCACSATTCTAAATATAATCATTCCCTTAAATAGTTGTTACAATGTACATTGTGATTTTAGKGGTTGTTCTTTTTTCCTGCCCTATATTTCAGTTCCACAGCCTCGGTGGTTGGTAAAATATCTCACAGCAATTCAAGATGTTTCCAGCAGTAATAAATATTTAAAAAAATATCACATATTGTAGGGACTATACAAATTCCACATTTCAGCAAAGATTTTTGGCTTTTTCCCATGATATATCAGCCATTATGGTTCTCTCTCGCAAACATCTTTTCACACRTCTTTACTCACAAATCAAAAGTCTTTTAAAAGCACAAATTGAAAGTGTTGTTAAATCTTTTCAGGCAAGTCCTTGATATTGTGAAGGCATTATAAGTTGTGATTTTTACTGTAGACCTGTACAATAAAGAACTGTTTAAATCAGCCCAATATGAAAATAAAATCATTTAAAAAAAATTATAATCATCATTTGATTTGTGTCTTGTTGTTATAGAGATTGAGTGTATGAGTGTGCTAAAACTACCATAATTCTTCCAATTTGGATTCAAAGCTGKAACTGATATATTTCAGTGTCTTTTTGTAAGGTGGAAGTTTTAAGACATAAACACAGACAGCTGGATATTGAAGTTGATGGTGGCGTGGGACCCTCTACCATAGATGCAGCAGCTAGAGTAAGTTAATGAGCAATTATCAGTGCCGTTACATTTTTAATTTGTTTGTTGCCCCATGGCTTTGGCCAATAATCGAATCCCCTCTAAAAATGAGTAAGCCCATGTATTTTATATACATCATATCCCTAGTTGGGCAATGATCCAGTTACCCTTCAAGGAATTTTTTACAAAATTGGTCTTTTTTATAACATAATATTTTGTAATGTAATTTGAATCTTAGGTAATCTTAACTAATTGCCTCACATTTTGTTTACATCTCTATTCCTTTCAGGCTGGTGCAAACATGATAGTTTCAGGAAGTGCTGTGGTTAAAAGTGACAATCCTAAACAAGTCATTGCTCTACTCAGAGAACGAACAGAGAAATGGATAAAAGAAAACTATGAAGCAGAAAGATGACATTGCACAGTTGCACATTGTAGATATAGAGGACATTATATGGGCTCAGAGATTCAGGTTTACCTTCAAGGGTTGAGGGGAAGTCCCACACTTGAGTGCAGAAAACTAGATTGCCAACACAAGATCTGTATCTCCAAATATTGTTTTGTGTATAAATTTTCCATGAAATTGAATCRTCTTTTAAATAAACTTTATTGTCTGTCCAATAATGTAGTCATTCCATGGTATTGTCCTTTTCACTTGTGAAATTTTTCAAAATTAAGAAATATACTGGGTACATGTATTTCATGGATATCATACCAAGATAAAATACTTGATTCTGATTGGCTGATAAACTGTGAATCTTTTCTTAATTTGTGCAATTAATACCATGCATGCCAGAGTGCTCGCACTAAATGAGTGAAATATAAATACTACAAAATAGGTGATAAATTATACAAATTCCTTTGTTTCCTATTGTATAATCAACACTATTTAATAGTAGTAATTAGAATTGTACTATTTGTTTCAGGCTTTAAGTGCAAGCACTCTATTATTTAATTGCATGATTCTATCCCAGAGGTCTTTGCAGCGTATGTATTTTATATTAAGATAATATTATGTTTGTAACCATAAAAGATTTTTTGAAAGATAACTTTGCAAATTTCTGATTTTTTTTACTAGCCTGATGTTTAGCTAATCATGTACTTCTACAGAATAATTTTAATTGTTAAGAGTTGAATATTTTGTGTAGGTATGATTATTAAAAGTAAATACCACCTAATTTTTCTCCAAGAATTAATCAAAAATACTGCTTGTATTTGATGAAAGTGAGCTAATACACTGTGCTTTGCACAGGTGGTACATGTATTAATTCCCCCCTTCCCTCCTTTTTTGAAAATTGCTGGATTGGGCCCTGGCAATCAGGAGTATATAGGAAACAATACAAGTTGGTTCTTGTAACATTTATTACTTTATTTATGGTGCATGGTGCCACTACAGACATTTGAAAAAAATTATTAAAGCTGTCATTATTATGATTACATTGGGTAGAAGATATGTGAATTTTTATCTTTTCTCAACAAATAAGATTGCAGATCCATTGACTGGTGTGTTATTCAAATATGTTCTGCATTTTGGTAACAAATTAAAGCTAAGTAACATGTAATTTGAACATACCAACTACCCAATATATTSATTTATAGCTATTTCAAAAAAACATTGTCGGGGAGAACGGCGATTGTCAAAGAGAGATTGCATGGCCGAAAGGGACTATGGTTACACTGTTTTGAAGAACAAAATTTCACTTATTGGATTCACCTTGCAGAGAAATGGAGACTAGATCCAATGTTTACCACGGACCATCTTACAGTACAAATCAGTTACTATTGCCTTCAACTACCAAAACCCATGACTACTTTCAGTTGTGCAATCGCTGTTYGACCACTGACATTCGCCATTTTATCTGACAACCTTTTTTGAAATAGCTATATTATGTTACTGTTCAGAATTTCTTCAAATGACTGTGATTAAATCACTTACGAACACGTTAACTTTAAAAAGACATAAAACTCCAAAAATGCATTACTGAGTGCTCTTCAATTATAGACAACAATAGATTGAGAATGAAATAAATACTGTTGTGAGATGTTTCTTCGTATTTTCCTCTTATTCATTTATCCCCATTATCCCATTTTTCTTCAATTTCCTTATGCTTATTAATAGAAGTACAACAACAACTTCATTAATGATTTAAACGTTACTTCAACCTAAAATGTTATTTACTTAGTTGAGCTTTTGGCTCACCAAGCCATTATCAAGACTGATGAAAAAAATGTTACAGTTTACAAAACAAAAAAAAATCTGTTACGTTTTTTCATCAGTCTTGATAATGGATTGGTGAGCCAAAAAACGTAACTAAAGTAAATAAAATTTTAGGTTGAAGTAATGATTAAATTATGAATAGACCAACCTACACAATCTATTTGACAAGAATTTCATTATGCATAATTTTAGAAATCAGTGGACAATGAAGTATATGAATGCCATAACTGATCTTTCTACTCCACATTTATTTGAAACAGTTTGTTTGGCTTTTTAGCTTAACAATTTTTGACATTATAATGCCAACAAACTGTCAGCCATCCTTTAYGTGGCTAAAACACTGAAGATGTTTTCATTGCTTGGTCTCAGTCATCTTCCTTTGGGTCATGGAGGATATGCCTACAATAAGCAGAACAAATAACACATTAACTGCAGTTCTTTCAGTTTCACAATCCATACAAAGTTTCCCAGTTCACTTTAGAATTGCTAAAAATAAAAAAATAGACCTGTGTAGCTTCAGCGTTTGTTTTCCCACTCTTGAGAGCTGTATAGTTTCTAAATCTTATATGGAGTATATGGGAATGTTATGGAAAATGGTTAACTATTGTGACACCTAATGATGCTTACCATTCAGCAGAAGGTTTACTCACATCCATCTTACCAAGATCAACAATAACCTRAAAAACAGTGAACATGCATGTAACATTTAACATGTTTGGAACATTTCTATTGAGATGATTATCATTTTGCAAAGAATGAATGTTTGCAATATCAGTGTCACTATTGAAAACATACATCTCCCATGTTTGTTTTGCTCTTTGAGAAGAATCCCACATCATTTTTGACAGAAATTTCCAAAGAGTGGTCTTTGAGTTTATCTTCTGGTATCATCCACTCAAAACGCTCATCAAAACTGGGAGCCAAGGTGTTTTTGGCTACATCTGTTCTTCTTTTACTGCTCCTTGACCTCTCTGGGAGAAGGTATGCTCTGATGTAAGGATCAGCCAGACCATCAGAGTCACAGGGCATCAAGTCCCTATTCAATGTTGAAAATTGCAATAAATTTTCCAACTATAAATGTTGCTTGCTGGCTTGTGCAAGCTTTCTAAATTGTACTGGATCGATGTGTTGTATTGTTGCAAAGGAACACAAGTCCTCATTGGTGGAAAAACATCATTGCTGTTTGGTTTAATTAATAATAATAGGCTCTCTTATGGGATGGGGATGTAAAATACAGAACTTCAATTAATCTCATCTCTWAAGGCCATTCCATAGTAACTAATAAAATGTTCATCCTCAATGGAAATTTGTACAATTATTGACTTTGAGATGAATGTATCACAAATTACAATAAAATAGAAAAGCTGGGGCACCACCTTGGYTTTTACRCTAGAGAGCATCCAAGTTCACCTGATCTCAATGCGTGCACAAGYTATTCTTCAATCTTATTCTTCAATTTTTAGATATCTYAAAATCGGCTCTGTCATAGATTCCTCAGATAATTTTTATATGCATGCTTTCCCTAATATGAGCAATATAAAGGAAGATAGGCCACCACATTCAATAGAGCGGATTTCGTATGAGTGGGACACCGTTACCGCACGGTTACCGCACAGTTACCGCACCTGGCCTGCAGAATTTTGGTGAAACAATGGGGCACTAGAATTTGGTTACAGTACGATTACAGTCACAGCACAGTACCGTCCGTTTCCCACTCATACGAAATCCGCTCTAAGCACTATAGCAAGTCAAAATCATTATATTGAATTATGGTCATTTCCTAACAGTACATAATGCATGCTAAGTAAGCTAGCTGGTGTGTGCACTCTCSCAGCCAAAACTTGTGTTCAGTAGTGTGTGTGCTATACAATACTTCGGAATTACATTTCATAAGATTTAGTAGTGCACTGTATTTTACAACTCTAGCAACAGTCTGGTTGCAATTCCTCAATGTCATGGTATCATGATGAAAGATAATGCACACTGGTGGGTTCTTAGAAAGGCTACATCATGAAAGCTAAGACTGAAGGTGAGCATGGGAAAGCAAATAATTATTATGAGTATATCAGGAAGTATATCAGTGTTTCAGTGTCAAARGTTTATCTACACAGTCTATGAGTAATGCTTCAAGGTAACATGTTTAGGCAAATATCATTTGAATTTCTGAGTACTTCAAATCCCCTTCGGTGTAAACTTCATCAATGCAATCACTAGGTGGTATAAAGCAAGTACTTGCCATCAAACTCACCTGGCTTTCATTTGCTCTACGATCAACTTGCTTCCTTGGGAAAGATAATGAATTTTGAAATAAAGATCACCAGTCACATTCCTGAAGAAAATGAAGAGCGTCCATTAACCAATGTAAGTAACATCTGTAAGTAACTAATGAATTAGTAGTAGTAACCTTTTAATTTCTTCTTTTGGAGCTGGCTTCTTTCTCCTTCTCACAGCTGTTGGTTTACTGTAAAACCAATTTAATATGTTATGACAATAAAAACAAAAACATCGGAAAAGTTAAACTCTTATCCATTAGCAAAAAAGGGGTATTATTGTTTTTACTATTGTTACTACATCTGTTCAATTTGAAATCTTATAACATGGATGTCATTTGTAACATTTAGTTTAAYCATATTTCGATATTCGTAGCCAAAAGGAAATGCTGACACACAAGAAAAGAGTTCATCTTCTCTTCTAGTTTGTTCTATTAAATTGCACGTCATGACAAAATGAACTGTTTCTTATGTTTAACATACACTAGGAGAAAACTTCTTGAATGCTTACCTTTCACCCTCTTTTCCATCCTGTGATGGTATAAGCTCTGAAGTTTCTTTACCTGCCTCACCTTCTTCTTCATCGTCTTCCTCATCAGATGTGTCATCATCACGAGTAACAAGGGACTGAATATGATAAAAAACATCATTTTCTTTTGAACTTTGATAAAAGTTTAATTAAGATATCAAATAGCTTTATTCATTACATTTCTACTGAATTAAGTCTACTGAATTAAGCTCCTTATTATTTATACAGTTCCTGAATTTAAGTTGGTTAATGAAATACCTTGAGCTGGAGAGAACATGTAATGGTACTGTTATGACCAGAATCTTTGAGTGGGAAAGGTTGTTCAAATGTCATGTCCTCATCTTTAAGCAACCGGTCAAGTGTAACATCTAATTTGCCAATGCTCTTCTCTTTAACACTGTCAAACACCTGCAAATACACTTGATACATTTAATAACTGACRAATGCATGTATTAACACAGYAACTGCATTCATTCTGTACCTCAAAATCCAGCTCTTGATATTTGGGATCGTGAATTAAAAACCTRAATGGCTCTTCCCAGACTGGACTGATGGAGTCTTGAATAGTCTATGCATCATAAGTTTATATTATATGTTATTAGTAATACTAATCCCATAACATGTTGCTAACACTATAAATATAGTGATATCTATCTAAATTGAAAAATAGTTTACCTTGCTGCAAAGTGTCTTGTTTCCCACAGTCAGCTTACAGAATGCACTGGTAGTACCACGAGCAGGGTTTGTAACCTATTAGTAGAAAAAAAAATCACTTAAAACTTAAAAATATAAAATCTGAAAAATATTCTTCTAATTTCACTAATGAAGAAATACATTTAAGAAATCATAATAATTCTTGCTATTCCCTCATTTAACATTGCATTTACCGGTAACCAATTTCCTCAAGTCAGATCAAATTTCAGAAATTTCTAACAGGTAGAGGCTTTTTTATTTTTAATGCTTTAAGAGAAACCAAGTGCCAAATGTGCAAGACCTAAACCCATACTCTGCAAATATTTTCAACAGATTCTGTAGTTTTGAAAAACCAATAAAAATATAAAAACGAAGACATTTGCACAAAAACTTTTTTACAATAATATAATCTTAAATTATTTGAATCTAAATTAATAACAACTATGTACATACTGGGAGATTCTTGGCAGAGTCGAGTTTCACAAACAAAGCAGCCGTTCCTAGCATCTCATCCCCCTGTGTAGCTTTCTCAGGCTTAAAGAAAAAACAACATTTATATACATGTATGTATTTCCCTTTATTTAAAAAGACTGTGCACTTACTGGAGAAAGGTCATCAGGATTGTTGGTAAATGTATACCAAATACAGCGTAAATTTATTTGTCCACTCTCAACATTCTCCAGTGGTAGCCACAGATCAGCACTACCTTGTTGAACAACAGTACTAATGTCAGCTTCAACTGTACCAAGTGTTTCATCATCAGAAGCTTTGTCTTCATCAAACAACTGGATCCTGATCTTTTGACCCTGGCAATTRTCTACAAACACCTGCAAAAAACAAGCCAAAAATCAATAAAATGTAGAGATTTTTTGAATCAATAAATTAATTCCATATTGATAAAGATCAAAGTACGTTTCCCTGGTTAAGAGTACATCACTCYAACACTTCAAGTGAAAATCAAAAATTGAAAGGAGACAGTGGTTAAGCTTGCAATAATACAGTAGATTTGTCCTTGGTATGAGCAAAAGTTATCTATCACTTTGAGGGTTCCCACTAACAAAAAAGCAAATTTAAATTGCCTGACTGTTCACCCATGAAAAACAWTTTTTCAATGCCAAAGTTGCACACTTGCCACAAAACATCCAAAAAAATAATCTCATGAGAATGTTATCATCTATTAATAGATAATGCCCTCTGCCTATTACTTTTTGCTGCAAATRCCTGCAAACAATTTAGAGAATGTTAAACTGCAAGGTATAGTGATTATTACACATTAAAACATGCACTTGAGTTCTATAAACGACTTCTAGAATTCCACMATCCAGAAATTGTTATCGYTTTAGAAAACRGAGTGTCTAAACGTCAGACAGCCATGGGTGGAAAACTACATACATTTCTTTGTATTTTCATTTCACCATAACTTTTTTCCTATTTTGTCCAGAGATCTAAAACGTTCAAAAAACGTTTATTTCCGATAGTTCTTTGATGTTACAGTGACAAAATATTCATATCTATTTTATTTTGGAAAAACACAATTGCAGCCATTATAAATTTATCATTGTCMYCAAGCATCCAGTGAATGGTGCAGGGCCTATAATTGGACCATTCTTTCTTCATGTTGAAGGGATAAGGATTAGGATATTTGATAGGCAGTTGATTAGGACATTTGATGCAKCTATTCTAAGTATTGCTCACTTTATACATTCAATATACTTTGTCTTAGTGTTGTTGTGGCTATTGAACCAAACAAAACACTATTTTTATCTATTCATACTGTGAACCACTTATTATTATTATTAACTGCCTACCAAATATCCTATTCATTATCCCTTCAAAATGAAGAAACAATGTTCTAATTATAGTCCCTGCACCATCTTTCACTGGCTGCTTGGAGGCAATGATAAATTGTTGTGGTAATGGTTGAAGGTGGATGGTCTGATACAGGGAGGGTTAGAAAATTTCACTTCCACAACTCTGGTATGTCATTATTCCCAGTACCCACTTTTCAATTTCCATCTCTGCTTCTCACTGCTAATTTCTGACAAGACCCTTATTTCGTCTTTATTCCATTTCTCTTGTGCTATTGTTCCGACGAATTTTCACAAAAAAAATAGACTGCCTGGCATGTAGTTCTGGGACTAAACKTCAGGCAGTCAAAAAATCTCAAAATGCTGTGCTTGTGTTTGAAACTTGTCAAACAGCATTATTTCGGTCCTTATTGCATTTCCCTTGTTGCATTAATTGAAATGAGTTCTAGAAAAATAAATGTCTGTACCTCAAATACTTCATTCCACTTGGGATTCAAGGTCTCGTCTTTAGTTTCTGTCCTGAATGTCTGTGCACCAACTAATAAAATGCAATAAATTGTTTCTTAATAATAATAGTAAAAATAACGTTTTAAATTTTTAAAGCGCTTATACAGCTCAGATCTAAGCGCTGAGAAATAAAAAAATTACAGATAACAAATTACAAATTACAATTAAAATTTACAAATTAAAGGCAAGTTTGAAAAAATAAGTTTTAAGGCAGGATTTAAAAGAGTCAATGTCAGTAATATTTCTAATAGAGGCAGGTAGAGAGTTTACTAATGTTAATTTAAATAATAATTTTGTATCCATTAGTTGAGTTACACAAGGTAGATTAGTTAATTGTGGCTAATAATGTTTAACAATACAAAAGAAATGGTTCAAAGCCACAAGACCTAGATTGCAAAAAATAAGACAACAAACTATTACTGCGGGTTACAATGATTAGTAACAGGCCTGTGGGCTGGGAGAGGGGGAGGTGGTTCAGGGGGGTGTTTCTCCTTTTTTATTGTAATTCTATTTTAAAATTCTTTTGTTATGAACTGCTCATTCTAGCAGCCAGTTCTTACACTATACCTGTGCATTGCACTAATTTAGTTAACATTTAATTTAGGTCTGCATTATGAATAAACGATCCCCACCATTTGTAAGGCAGCCTACGGGCCTGAGTAAGTTACGATTATACATACCTTTAATAATGGCATAGGGATCAGAAGATCCTTTTTTAAAAACACCAATGTCTCTTTTGACCAAATCCTTAGCTTCCAGTACATGAATACGAAGGACTCCCTAGAAACAAATACAGTAAGTAATAATGTACTTTTCTGAAGAAAGTCTAATCTCTCAAAAACAAATGTCTAATGTACCAGAATAGACTCCTTCAGTTTCCTGCACCATCTTGAAAGGTAGCCATGCCTTGYCATCGAAGCGAGACAGCCRTTGAGCGTGCAATGATAGATACCTGTGAATAACTGTCTGTAGGTGTGAAAGAAGGTTTCTATCATTACAAGCTCAACAGTCGTCTTGCTTTGATGCAAAGGCACAGCTACATTTCAAGATGTCGCAGAGAACTGCAAAGAAGACTATTGTCAAATCCATGTTCTCCAAATACGGTACGGTTGAAAGAAATGCATTCAAAAACTTTSTGAAAATTATTTTGACAAAGGCCAAAAAATATTTTTAGACCMAAAAAAACCCATTACACTTAAAAAGGATTGTGCTTATGAAATGTGTTGTTCTCTTTTAATGTGACATGGTTCCTTTAATAAAGTAACTTTTGCTTTCATTGGGACTTGACACTTCAAACATTTATTGGAAACATCTTTATTTGCTTTGATTTGGTAAATATTTTTTTTTCTTATTTCATTTGCATGTATACCCTGTTTGCAAAGCTTTTCTCTTATTACTCCTTTCTATAACTGCAATACAAGGTGACATAGATTGCTGCAGTTCTCAAAACAATGTTTAGAAGGGTGTTTGACAGCTCTGGAATTAAATTAGAAATTTGTCTAATGTTATTACTCATTATTCCCAAGGAATGTAACGAAAGAACATGCAGCCATTGTAAACATTTTGAAGACTGAAACTATTCTTGACTTACATCAGGCAGTGGATATTTAAGCTTGTAAGGATCAATATCAGTCAAAGGAACAGAGATTCTGTTTGGCAAAACTACAAATGACGCTACGACATCATCAATGACTCCTCTTAAAATATCACTGAAATAAAATTGTGAATATTCATTTTAAATTGCTTTACATAATAATCAATTGATGTCAAAAATGAATATTATATATGTTGTAGTTCAGGTTCAATATGATTTTGAACCAGTTCAATTTCTTCTGAACTGGTTCAGTTTATTTTGAGACAGAGTCCAATATAACTCAATCCAGTACAAATCAGTTTAGGGTTAGGTTTAGGGTTAGGTTTTAGGTTAGGTTTAGGGCTAGGTTTAGGGCTGGGAATAGGGTTGAGCCAGCATTATATAAAAATTTTCTTCATTAATAAATTACAATTAAGATAAAAACAATTTGCAAACATTAATACCAACAAAATCTTTAATGGTATAATTGGTAGTCCTGTGGACTATGAAGCAAGAGTTCAGTCGTTCAAACCCTGATGAAGGTAAGTGTTACTCATAAATTAAAAATATAGAAAAAATATTTCTGAGGGGTATAGGGTAAGATAAACTAGGAAATAGTAGAAGGTAGAAAATAAGATGATAGATAGAAAATGAGAGAGAATGAGATGGGATATAGTTCTTTTAGTTCTTTTAAGAAGTCTTGTACTGGAACAAATTAGATGAAACTGGTTCAAAAATATATTGAACCTGAACTACAACATATATATCTGTAAAATGTCAATAGCCCATATTATACTCACCTCAGTCCAGGGATGTCCAGTATGTTAAGAAGATTTGTCAAGTCAAAATCAATATCCTATTTACAAAAAAAGCATATCAAAACAAAACAAAAGCATGATTACATAATATTACATTTTAAAAAAATGCAATGGTGGCAATATCATCACTGAAGTTGTAATTACAATAGGAGTCAGACATTTCATGCTAGGGAAAACAATTTTGTATTCAAACATATTTATTTTTATAAAACAATACATATCATATTATCAATAATAATCTAATTATACATGCATTTCAAATTTTAAAAGCGATAATTAATGTTTAGTGAAACTTACTGGTCTGTTAAGGAAAAACACTGACACTCCACCAACCAATGGTGAAGATGGCACAAGTGGGCTCAAAATAACTCGCAAGGTTCCTCTTAGCTAAAATTGGAAATATAAAGACTTTCAGTGGTTTCCAAAACCCAAAGGAATGTTAAAAAATTGAATTTTCACCTGTAAATCCTCAATGCCAACAGATACACCTTTAACTGATAGCTTGATGTCGGCATCTCCAGCATAACTAGAAACAATAAAATATTAATGGATATAGTAATAAAATGCCATTTTGTCACCCTTTCCCTTTATTTGGTTCACAATTATATGAACATCACTTTGTTCTTAGGAACTTRAAGATCTACAGACACATTGAACACACATATAGTGCAACACTGACATCCACCAAACCAAAGACTTTACTTACATCAAATCAACATCCATTATGATCTCAGATCGTTTCACATTCTGAGTATAGGTCTTGATCCCGCCAATTCGTGGAGCCTTGTTYAAAATTAAGATATTATTACATTTTTCAAATTGAACATTTTATCAATAAACTTGACTCATTTACAATGTCTTCTATGAAATATAAGCAATTTTTAAATTACCCTAGCCGGTTTAAAACATTTAACCTTCAATGATATTTTTAGCAATTTTTCTGAGAAATGGAAGCCAAAGTAGCATAAAAAGCTCAGACAAACAAATAAAAAAATCAGATTTATATCAATCATTGAACATTGTTGGTTGTAAAGCTTTGTAATAWAAACTCAATACTAAAAATAAGGCAGACCATTCACTGTGACAACTACAAAAACATGTATTWAAAAAATTGGTCTTTAAAGTATATAATTCTGACACCATAAAATCTTCATAGTTACCTGATTTCCAAGAGAAAGTTCAGCAAAGTGGATAGAGCTCAAAAATCCTGGGACATTCTTCTGAATCTCTGGCTCAACAGTTTCTTTCAGTATCTTGACAACCATATCATTGATATAGGGCCACATTTGTACAATCATCTAGACAACGTTGAAAGGTTGTTAGGCAATAASTCATTATAATGAATTGCAATTACCAAAATATTTGGTAAAAGTGCAATTCATACTGTACTATCATGTATTTATGACACTAYCTTTTCTAATAATTGCTATTTTTTATAATTATATTATTTTATATTTTATACAAACAACATTAAATAGATAAACACTTGATCGATACTAATAAATCACAATACTGTTATCATTATCTCAGCCACCATTGGAAATTACTATTTTCATTATAATGATTGTTACATTTAATTTTAATATTGAACAAAACTTACAAGTTGATCTCAGGGGAAAATGAAYATCATAAATATCCCCTTACATTTCATTTTTGATGATTGCCTTTTTTTCATTCATTTTTTGTTTTCACAAGGTTGGGGACTACAGTAGTCTGACTGTACAGTTGACATTATAAAACTAACCTCACCACAGTTTTTCAATAATTTACAATTGATGCAATCAATAAAAGAATTAGGCATTCAGCTAGAGCTGAAYAATAACAGCATTAATTTATAATTCCAGATCGATTACCTTGTTCAGCCATTCTGCCCTTTCAACATCTGGGAAAAACACCTATAAATAAATAAAAAAATTAATATTATACTTTAAGACATGTAATGCTTAACTAAAATACTACACATTTTGAATAATGGTAAAAAAGTGAAATATCTAAAATACAATTCAGAATCATAGATAAAGACGTCAAGAAGTAAAATAAATATATGAGACAAAAACACCCTGACACCAAACCAAAAGACCATAGCAGATGTTATTCAAATGACAAAGACTCAGATTCATTAGCATAAGTCTGTAGACTAAAAAGTCAGTCTTTGTTTCTGTAAAATACTCTTATTCTATCCCAAGAATACAAATCAAATAATATATTATTTGATAAATAAATTCAAACAAGGGATGTGGAAATCCATATAACATTTAATAATTCTAAAAGGTTTTCGATTTTCAATTTGAAATAGACTTAATCAAACAGCTGATGTGCAAACTCTCTTGCACAAAAGAATACACTACTATAACACTAGCCCTTTTCTGTTCACTCTGAGGTTAAAGCAATGGAACAACAGAACTTTGTATATTTCTCTTCTACAAAACATAATGAAATAGGAAAGTCTTTATGAACCAATATTTTGTGAGAGACTAAAAAATCTAAAATGGGAAGAGCATCATTTGGCATTTTCAATTTGTTAAATTCCACATTCATCCAAATAACCCAATTCTAGCTTAAAATATAAAGAGACAAAGAGGCAAGTAATGCATCTATCTTAGCAGTAGGATATAATATTCACACACATGAATTCATGTAAATGAGCATTTGACAAAGAATTAAATTGTCAAAAATCATAAACATTCAACCTCAGTATTTCTGCCTTTCGGTGGAGGGATGCTTTGTCCATCAGAGTAAAATAAATGCCTAAAGAAGTTTATGATCCAAGAGCAGCACATTTCAAAGGATTCCTTTTCTAAACCATTAACTTTTTAGGCTTCTCCACTGCTAACTCTTGCCATTGAACCAAAGTCTCCTCATTAATTCACAGCTGACAAAAACATTGTACATGTATCATGTGATCTACTGAAACCTGAGCACCAATCTACATACATCATTTCATTTTGCCTGAAGTATTATCAGCTTCACATCCTGTGATAAATCTCACAGCATATGTTTTAATCACATTTTATCTCAGACAAAAAATATCAGTATCATTATAATTCTATTTAAATTATCTATCATTCACTGTGTTTTGACATCGTCATTATTAGAGTAATATATATTATTTTCAAAGATTTTCAGATTGTAATAACCAAAATCAGWGAGAAGTAGTTATTTATGATGAGTGATAACAAATTAAATTGAATAAAATGGTGCATGCATGTATAGTGTAATTCTTGGGTTTAATGTGACATTACAAAAAAGCAAAAACATTCAAATATAATCAATGCAAGCTAATATATGTTATAAATAAGAGTCATTAAAGTTTCATCAATCAGACCATTATCAAATTCATCAATATTCATTAAGCAAACACAAGATTGTAAAATTATCATTACCAAGTTTGCAAGAGATCCAACACAAGAGATTCTACCCAATTTGCATATCAGATTCAAATTTTTAGTTTAGCAAGATAGCTATAAATTGTTAAACCAGCACCTTTCATACCATTCTTCTTTATCAATAATATGGTTACAATTAATAAATGGAAACCAGTGAGGCTATTAGGTCTGTAAATATCTTTGATATCCAGGCTAGCATATTTATCAATAATCAGACAGCTCGTAACAGTGAGCTATCAAAATTAAACCCTATTTTCTGTGTGCTTATATTGAGAACATGTCAGAGTTGGATGGGTTAGAGAAAACAAGCAAATAATGTCTGCCACCTATAGAAACCCACTCTGAAACCCTCAGTTGAACAGATCATGTAATGATCAAAAATTAATTATATATTAATATAATCATGAAATACTGGGAAATGTACAATAAATTCAAGAATTAACATCAACTATGGATTATTCCTGTCAACAAAATAAAATTGTAACAATGATCTAAATAATTTTTTCTTATTCCAAATATTTTTGTAAATGTCTGTAAGAAAAATTAATAATTTTATTCATTTATCATCATTTGTCATGTAATTTACATCTATGACCAAATGTCCAGATTAAATTTGAGTGTTTTTTTTTAGAAATCCACAATTTAGTTTTCTACCTACATATAAATAATAGTGCCATTCCCCTATACAAGGAAATGCATGTTCACATTAAGAAAAATTGTACCAAATTGTGTAATCTGAAACCATAAGAAAATAAATGAAACAAACTTGAATTTTGTCCAATTCATAACATGAATGATGGCAAATCATTACTGAGCAAGAATGTTATATGAAACATTCATTTTAAGAACTCTTAGAACKTAGAACTCTTCATTATACTGTTTTAAGCAATGTATAAACACATGTACTGTCAAATTGTCCTGTACACAAATAGGATAGTCCAAAATTCAATTATAAATTCATGCTTGTTACAGACATCAATATTAGTCATTTGCAATCTTTGCCTTCCAATGCAGCATCGTTAGTCCTCCACTGTGTATCATTGAAAATCAATAACTGTCAATCTCAATATTTATTAAAATGTGAATCACAAAGCTGTTRCCAGGAGGAATCATGGGTGTATTTGAATAACTACTTCATCTGACACATATTAAAAGCAGGAAAAAATACAAACGAGTTTTTTATCTAGATATTCTGAAAAATAATGAAATTGTACTGTTTGTGAGTTTTATTAGCAATGTCATGATGATAAACTAGTATTGATTATTTGAAATTAACTGTGAGTTTTAATCATAATGACAATAATATGACAGTTAATCTTCCTTCTTATTGGTCAACATTAAACATTCCAAAAATACTTCTATACTGAAAACAAGATTCACACTGTAATAATCGAAGTAGGCCATTTTCTGAACTGCTAACTGCGATTAATTSTTAATGTGACTAACTGTAAAATCTACAGGTGTTAAAGTTCCAAACATGTCAAGATGCCACAAAATGTCAAAATTCCTTTTTCCAAACAAAACATAAGAAAACTTATTTAGAATTCAAAATGGCCAAGGAAAAAGTCTGAACTTAATGTAAACTGCATTGAATATAGCCCACTTGATATTTAAGTTGAATGTTCGAAATGTACAAAGAACTGAAGATGATGCATAAACAAAATATCAAAAGTGGGCTATTTAAATATTCCTAGTTCCATCCAAAATGGGTGTATATTGTAATGATAATAAACTGTTTGTTAGTCAAAATCTGCAATATTATTTCAACCATTTCAAGCTCAGCATGAGCCAAAATAGATTTTCTTTTCTTCACTAATCTCAGCTGTTTTCACTTCAAACTGGTAACTTTCTATCAGTAGCTGTTAGTAAGCAAGTTGATATTCATAATGGATTTGTAATTATATTTGACAAGTCTCATTTCCCTTGTTTTCCTAATCGTAGACCAAATAAACTTAAGTTATAATATAATTTTGGAGAAGTTCATATATACAGTAACCTGTCTAATTTTCATGTCACGCTCTTGGTAAACACAAGCCTTTATAAACATTTCAGGACAAGAGGCTCAGAAAGTGAAGAATTCAAATTAAAAATAAAGTTGACTTTTTTACGAAGTTTTAGTAAAGAACAATTGCAAAATTTGACAAATGAGTGCAGTTACAAAGGTACAAAGATAAAAGCACAACAACAAAAATGAAAAGACACTATACGAAAATGCTATGCAAACAYCATACATGCATTGGGCAATCGTTTAATCTAATATAATAGTTTATAAAGTTTATATAGCTTATGGAGGCGCGTTTTCAACATTTCAAGGTAAAATGGCCACGAGCTCAATAAAAAAACTTGTCCACGACTGCCATCAATTTATAATGAGCAAGCTTATTTTTAACGCTATTTGAAAATATCTAGAAACAGCTATCTTAGTAGCAATGCCGTAAGGGTAGAGTCCAGAAAATCTTCTTTCTATTAAAAATAAGATTTATATTTAAGCTTACTAGAAAGTTCGCAAAGTCTTCTTGTCGTCAATCTTACCCAAGAAGGAAGGTCTTCCATTCTTGGCGGCACAGCACCATCTGCTGCCATTTCTGCTGATTCTTTTAAAACGGTTTTCTTCCTCTCTCTTTCCTCTTTGTTTAGCTTCCAAACCACATAAATCAATAGTCCACAAAGAACCCATACATAACTCAAACCTAGCCAACCCATGAACCAAATGCAGAGAGCAACGCCAACAAACTTTAGATATTTGATGGCGAATTTCACAACACCAACATCAATCGCTGATCCCTCTTTCTTCCCAGGTCCTGCAGAGTGATTTGTGGCATCTACTAGCGAAGCCGGGGACTGGGAAAGTTCTTTTTGCTCTGCATTGTCCGACATATCTTTCTCCTCCGTGTCCATTTTCACATSCAGACAAATCTGCCCAGGCCAACTCTTTCAAGTCACGCGCATTCATGACGCGTGCGTGATACAGTGTTGGGAAAAACCATGGTTCGTCGTTGTTTTCTTCGTACTCATTTTACAAGTAYTTCACAAAGAAGCATTTTCGTGTTATGCTTCTTGTTGGACGATCACGTGCATTTTTATTAAGTATAGAGAAGAATAAATTTAGGAAATGGTAGTGACGGGGAATGGTAATAGTTATTTCCGGTCAAAAAGTTTCAAAATCCATATTTCGTAGCGTATGGCAACGTGATCGAAAATGCATTCAGTAAACACCAATAATACGATCGATGTATAAAGATCTTTCAAGTAAAATGTCTTAGTTATGWGGGAGATACTGCAAAAGGCTGAATAAACAGTCAGACGGCTGCTGCTAGTTGCGGCACTCGAAATCACGCCTACATTAATAACAAATCATGCAAATTGCACTTTTTAAAAAATATCTGAAATATCCAAGAGTAARTATATGATTAGAAGTGGATGTCATTTGAAATTAGTAAGAAGATCTCACCATTAAGCATCTATCAATAAAATGAAATATGAAAATATAATTTTATTTAAATATCAATCGATGGCGTATAAAGTGGTACACAATTAAACGTCGATTCTTACCCAGGATGGAAGCTCATCTAGTTTTGCTTCCAAAGYAGTTTCTTCGTKCTCCGCCACTTCTCGGACGATTCCCTTTTTCTCGTTTTTTTTCTCCTTGTTCTTCTTCCATATTGTATATACGACTATCACCATAAATATCCACATATAGCGAAATCCCAACCACCCAACTAACCAAATCAAAAACGCAATTCCGGCATATTTCAAGAATCCTATTACCACCTTAACGACCATCATTTCATCCCGTCCTGGTGCACCGCTGGCGCTTTTGGGATTCAAATCTTTAGCTGGAGGAGACATTTCTGTCTCGCCAGTAGTTTTTTCTTCCATAGTTAACCGATCAAATAAATAGTTTTCTAATGCAGTGATTCCTGCAGTGTTGTTGTTTTCACGCTGCTAGTTAGGTGGGCACGTACTTAAACAAGTTACGAATCCCTCTTTTAATTATTCAAGGTATTGGTCCGTTAGCCAATTGGAACCGTTCTTTTTGTAAGTGGAATTTCCTCTATCATGGTAAACAACAGTCGATAAGTCCAAACACATTGATGCAAGATATCGATATCCATCAGTCAACTCGAAAAATACTAATCACTGACAACTATAATTATTTCTCCCMAGAATTAATAACGCTATTATCTATAGTATTGTCTCTGTATCAGTCCCGTAATCTGCAGGACTTTTTCAAATAGGGCGTCTCCCGGGAAACAGGTTATGAAAATGTTTTGATTTAAATCTTTTAAGATCCAATGATGCGTAAACCAGACAGGGAAGATTTATGTTGCGGTTGGATCATTTCAAGCAAATTTGCGGTTTTTGCCGTTTTTGTCAAGAATTATAGAATGTTAAAAAAAGATATTCTTAAAGTTTTTTCAGAGACACAAATTACAAATGAAAGCTACAYATTCTACGATTATCCAAGACACAATACTGGGCCAATACGCTTGCAACCGCTGCGCTGTTATATTTCATCGCACAAACAGTACTCACGCCACACGATGTACCCCCAAAAAAACAACCAGGATCCTATCAATAATCGCAACTGCATTTGGCATGCATACAAATTAGCAAATGCTGGGGCAGTTGCATGGACTTCAAATATATTGATTTTCATTAAGCGGTGTGATACAACCGGAAACTTATAATGAGAAAAACGTGAAAAATTAGGAATAGTAAACGGCCCTCCCAAGCCATGAAATACACCTTAGCGTTCTACGTTTTCTTTCTTACTTTTAAATTTGCAAGTTGTTCTTAGTCTTTTTGGTGTATTTAAGCATTAGAAGGTATTTTCCGTGCTTTCATTTTCTTCGTGCTTTCATATTCTATTAGGAATTCGCGGGAAAACATGAGAAAGTTTTGAATCACGAGCTAAAAGCTGCATTGAAGTTATATAGATTTATACTGATATGAAATATCGATGGTGTTCGCGCAATTTCGGTGGGACCGTTCAGAGGGGAAACGTACATAGAGGATATTACATGTACATGATGGGCGCGTGGAGATACGGATATTATCTTCGAGGGGAAAAAATAGCTAAAGAATAATGAAATAAATCTTCTCTCGTCCAAGCATGCTATTCTTTACTTCTTTCTATTCGCCTATACACCTCTGAAGGCAGATTCTGAGATTCACTTGTCGAAAAGTGGCAAGAAGGACCGGACCAATATATTTAGAAGCCGACTCTAAAAGATTATACACGTTAATTGACTAAATTCCAAAATACTTATAACTCATCTTTAGCTGAAATTACTGTTCCTTTTTCGTTCAAAAATTTGATAAAGTCCTCTAGCTTTCTCTCTCCTTCGTACTTGACTGGGTTCTTTTTGTCTTTGGCCGATGAAAAGTAAATGGTAGGAAAACCTTCTGCAGGGTAGTCTTGTGGCAAATCATTGGCTGTAGCATCCATCTTTGCAATAACCACATTCTTATTGTCTTTGAAATGCTTGCCTAACTTTTTGTACACAGGTTCTAATGCCTTGCAATGTCCRCACCATGGAGCATACATTTCGATCATGACATCTTTAGACGCGTCGCGGACGATTTCATCGAAATTCTTGCCCACAACGATTTTCACAGGGCCATCATTCCTCTTTGGTATRGGTTGGGATTTGATGACTGGTTTTAGATTGCCTACAACAAAACATTTCAAGTTGAATGCTGTCGAATGCTAGTTTTTTTTTCTTTTGTTATTGAACCAAACCAGAGTTAGTCGTGTTGATTTTTTTTCTAGATATTCGTTCACCATTTTTTCGAGCTGTTATTTTGATTTTTACACAGACTTATTGTACTCGAATAGCGTCGAACTCATAGRATCGCTGGTTCGATTCTCGACTCGATCGCTTCTAAAAAATGATGTGAAAAGATCAGACGCAAAAATCTATCAAATCAATCGCAGCGCTGATACATTTAACGGAAAAATTCTATACACTTAACGTATTAAACCTGGACACGGTATGTTCCACTGACGAAGTGGTTCTTGTTGTGATAACAACGACATTTACAAGGATTCTTTTAATTATGGAATTGTTTTCAATAAAAATGTTCAAGACATTAGAAATGGCTTAAGTTTGGTCAGAGTTAGTAGGGTTAGGGTTACTATAATAACTTCATTTCAGTTAAAAAGAAAGAAATAAAAAAATGAGTAGAGAAGCAAGGCCGCGATCCTAAGTTCGACGCTATTCGAGTATAATATTCTGTGTAAAATTGAAATAATGGCTCGAAAATATTTATTAAACAAAATCTACAGAAAATCAAGATGACTATAACAATTTTATATACTTAAAAAGAAAGAAAGAAAGGTTTGAACCCGCGATCCTCCGTTCGACGCCGCTGTTCGAGCATCATAGTCAGGGGGCCAACCTCACGGAAAGATCATTAAAATGGTGCCAACACGGACAGCCTGATATAAAATTCCAACCTATTTTATCTGAAAGAGGGTCAATCCTAGTAAGTGAAAAGCGATCTTGGACATCACAGAACTCTTGCAAAGACCGTGTAGTAACAGATATATTAGCTTGTTTATAAAATTTAACAAACGCGGCTCGTAAATATTAATAAAACAAATTGCTACGATAAAAATCTAACATGACTAGAACACCTATATTTCAGTTAAAAAAGAAAGAAAGAAAGAAAAAAGAAAGTTTTTTCTGATGTGCCCGAGTCGAGCATTCGGCCTGGTTAATTATTTATAATTGCTCTTTTCCAGATATGATTATTACTGGAAAACTCTATTGTTTAAAAGAAGGTTAGTGTGAAAAAAACCCAGCAATACGTCAGCTAATCAACACAATATCAAATTACCTCCTTTGAATTCTTCAATAAATTCTCTAAGAGTATCTTCCGAAAACTCTTCATCTGGATCCATGCGGTATCTCATTCCCTTATTATCAAAGCATCCAACGCTGATTTCTTCGCCAGTGTCATCAAGACCAAAATCTTTTAGCTTATCCTCAAAGTCACCTTCGTTGGCAATWGCGAAAGTGATGTCACGGTGATCTTTGGCTACCTCCAGTACTTTTTTACGCCAAATCTGGGTTGCTGCGGATTAAAACGCAAAATATATAATAAAAAATAAAAATATAAAATATATAATATCTTCACAAAATATATACTAGGTGAGTATACATGTATACATGCAAATATTAACTACTCTGACCATTTTCTGTAGACTGTAAAAGATATGTTATACTTCCACTTTTCTAAGACTATAGGATTGACAACTAACTAAATACTACAAAAAGAGAAACAATGTTCTAATGATACAAACCCACTTATAGTCAAATAAGTGAAGGGAAAAAAACGTACCAACTCTATATTCAAACCCAAAGTCCACTCCATAATAGRCAACACAGAGAGGTCTTAAAGAGTATTTCTTGTCTTGGTTATAAGGAAGGATCTGTCCAACAAGTGGAACCATTTTCTCCTTGTAAAATGCTTGAAGGCTTGCWGTAGTCGGTTCCTTACCCTAAAGATGAAAACATGAGCACCAAGAAAAAAAAAAACGTAAATATACCATTGCTTACGCAAGAGATCTAAAACATTTGACAATTTTTTTACCTCAAAAAGAAAATGCTTTGGTTCATATTTAGATTGAAACTGCACAGGCTGAAATAAAACAATGGAGCTACTCTTGATACCAAAATGTTTCTTTGCCGCATTATCAAATGTATGTCCAAAAGTGTAGTCATCTCGAATGTCATTATTGGCTTCAAGGTATTTTTCAAGGAGTTTGTCCTTTTCATTTTCAAAGAATCCAATGATAGTAACATCATCTTTGTCTTTCATAAGATCTTGTACAGCTCTTAGTGATGACAGAAGTCGGGAACTTGGACCAACTTGCTTTCTCATGTACTCACTAATGGCTAATATCACAACAAMAACAAATTATTTAATACAACAACACAATTACTGTGCTAGTATTGGTAGGGCGAGTGCACATATTTAGAGGGAAGCCAGAGGGTCCCCTTGACTTCCCTTTTAAAGCCCAATGGATCTGTAAAAAATTACAAAAATGTGATATCATAGTAAAAATATTTTGTAAGGACCCCTACAGTTACAGATCCTGGATACAATGCCAGTTTTTTAAATTGAAATCTTTCTTTACCCCACTGATTCCTTTCTCCTTTGTACTCTGATGGTTTTCCATTTCTAAAAACTTTCAAAGTTGGATATCCTTGTACACCATATTTCTTAGCCAGGTCCGTCTCTATTGTAGCATCCACTTTTGCAAGAGCAATTGGTGGGTCATTTTTCTTTAATTCTTGTGCTGCTTTCTCATACTCTGGTGCAAGAGATTTACAGTGTCCACACCTACATTGATACACAGACATAAACGTTTTTAATGAATCCACACTTATTTCAAGAAATGCTTAGAGCTGTCTGCTAATCAATATTATATTTAGTAAATCAACCCTTTCCTTTACACTATGCCCTTTAGATAGCAGTACACACATTTAACATGATGACTAATGAAGATAAGCTATATATAAATTCTATTTGTAATCTTACCATGGTGCATAAAATTCTACCAACATCAGACTTTCCTTGTTGATGGTTTCATAGAAGTTTTCTTTTGTTAAAGTCAAGACCGCAGGTGGAGGTGGCTTCCAGTTGGGATCAGCACGCACTTTCATGTATTCAACAATACCTGTCATGGAAAATTAGAAGGTGTAAAATGTGCTTGTTGAGTCTTATGTYTAACCATTTTAAAATCATTTATGTGTTGTTTATTGAACGAGAGTGCGTGTTTTATGTAGTGTATAAAGAACGCCTTCGGCTCGGATCTTTATCACCCGATAAAACACACTCTTGAGTTGTTTATACTACTTCTAGAACTTTAACATCCAGAAATCGTTATCATTTTAGAAAAAAAGCTAAAAAATGCGAAAACAGYGATAATGCATATTAAACATTTAAACTTTTAATGCATATTAAACTACTGAGCATGTGCATTTGCCACAATTGAAAGATTTTGATCCCACACGTAAGAACGGCTGGTCTATGCTATACTGCATGTCTGCACATTTAAAACTGAGACCTTTGCTAGTGTTGGGTTACGATAAAGCGATAGGATATATAGGATATATAGGATATACAGATTTAAGCCGAGGTGAGAATCTATATATACCTGATAAAACACGCACTCGAGTTCTATAAATGACTTCTAGAGCTCCAACATTCAGAAATTGTTATCATTTCATAAAAAAGCTAAAAATTCAAAAACAGTGATATAAATGCATATTGAACTTCTAATGAGCATGTGCATTGTGCAACAATTGAAAGAATTTTGATCCCACACGAAAGAACATCATGTGACCCAATAGTTCGATGCTCATTTGACTTATAGCTCATGAATTATTAATGAGTTCTAGAAATGGGATTAAAAACTCATACATAATTGATGAGTTATTAGTCCAATAGAATGAGCCTATCTTGTCACATGCATGGACCTTTATATTTGATAAAATACTCCTCATTAGTATACTTTATACAAAGAAWACTAATAAKGATGACCTTTATCAGATATAAAGATCCATGACCCTAGCAAAGGTCTCAGGTTTGATACCTGATCATTGACCAATACAGGATGCCAACCGATTGCAGTAAACAGCCAACAGCAGTTCTATTTTACTTTATGCGTATTCAATGTGGGATGACAAGAGTGCTTTGTAAAGTGATTCGCGCATGATCAGTTTGCCTCATTTATTTCAAAACTTATTTTCACGACAGTTTTTCCAAGAATTTTAACAGATTTGAGTGGAATCTTTATACCTGATAAAACACTCTCTCGTGTTTTAAACTATACATGATTTATATTCAAATAATAAAATTCACACATTTAAACTTATGTCTATAAATTAAATTAGATTTAGAYAAAACACTTTGATATCTAACATAAATTGCAAACTTCAAGATTTTATAATATAATAGAACCATACCATGAATACACTTGTCTATTAATATATTTCGACTTTTTTTATTTTTTTTTTAAAGAAATGACATGCCAGCCTGKTTTTATAACTCCCAAGATTTTCGCAAATTTAGTAAATTTCATAATGCACTTTGCTACATCAACCTTGATGTTTAATACAAAAAATAAAACCAACCTACGTRCCCATCTTCATAGGGTTAAAATGAATCTTGTTCCAACTAACAGAAAAACTCAGTATTAACTGAGCAYRCAACCTCCACAGGACATGAATAAATTGGCAAGAAATGGAGATTCTTGCTAAAGAGGCCAGATGGCATCACAGGAAGTGGGAAGAGGTATGCCACATTTCCAGAAGAACATTTTACATAATAGAGACAGAGATAGAACTCTACCTTTAAGTTACCTGAAATTGCTAGGGGATTGATTTACTGCACCCATTATATCTTATGCACGTGCTCTTTGTTTTGATGATGAAGTCTAATAGTTGTAACGAGATTCATTGTAACCCTGAAGATGACCGCATACGTTGACAGCTCGTTCTTTTTTTTTTGTATTAAACATCAAGATGGTGTAGCAAGGTATATTATGAAGATAAATCCAACCTACAAACATCTCTTTAAATTTAATAAATGTATGGCAGAAAAAATTGAAAATATGTGACTTTTCAGCTTTTTACTGTGCACTAAGTGATAAAGCAAGTGGAAAATATGAAAAAAAGTTCTCGTTCGTTCTGTGCATAACTCWTCTACTTTAAACTGAAGTTCAACAGTGTAAGAAAGATTACCATAATGTCAGGTGATTATTTAGTGGGACCAATCAAAAGCACCTGACAGCCTTTCTTGTTCTGAAACTAATTCAAGATGTTACAAAAAGTTTGTGTTCATCATGCCTTGTTTCAACTATAATTTTTTTAGCCAGAACAATCCTTTGAAGTTGGTGCTTGCATGCAAGCACTTACAYTTCAGCTATCAGAATAAGGACACACCTGCTTCGTTGCGTGGTCCATCATAGTCATGAGCCCTTCCTTTCTTAAAAAACTTTAGAGTAGGGTATCCACTGACATCRAATCTTTGAGCAAGATCTGATTCTACTGTGGCATCYACTTTAGCAAAAGCAACTGGTTGCTCACTGGTTTTCATTTTCTTSGCTGCTTTTGCATATTCTGGAGCAAGTGATTTACAATGCCCACACCTATGAAACAGAATATAATTACTATTATTGTTATTATTCATAATAATTATGGATGTAGTTATTCCACCTAAACTACAAAAATGTTATGCTGAACATTCAACCATAAAGGTTTTGCCTTAAAAATGACTGTGTTGGTTAAATGCCAGCCATGATCATGGTATTTTTGTGGCTTATAGATTGTGAAAAAAAATTAAATTATGAATATACTCCAGCCTACAAGAAGTTGTTTGATATTGTTGATTATTTATGTTCCAGTCTGTCAGCTGGGTCAGTTGTGTTTGTTTCAGTTTCAATATCCATAAAATCAATTATTGACCCAATTAAATGCACAAAGCAATTCAATGTCTACACAAAACATCCTTTTCATTTCCTTTTTTCTATAAATTAATTCTTTTAAAGACCCATTATGCTTTGGTTTAACGAAAGTCTATAAATTGTACTGTGTGTTTCGAATCTTTCATGATTTCACTTTTCTAAGCACTTTAAACGCTAATATAAGAGTTTTCAACCATCTGAAATTCGTTTTATGGTGACATTTGGATACTAAAGGTATTTTGTTKTAAATCATAACAATAACAGAGGCGCGCAAAGCATAATGGTGCAAACTAGGCCTTTAATACTACTTTTCAAATTTTTTTTTCAAATTTCGATTAAGACTTATAATTGAAAACAGATGTCCATTTTTGAGCAAAGAGTATAAGCGACTCCAAAAACTGGGCATTTGTGCGCTATTTGTGATTGATCAGAATACATCCAAGTGGATGTACGAAAAGATTTCTAAGAATATAAACAGTTGTGAGTAATCCACAATAAAACTCTGGACGACGACCCAATACATACCAAGGGGCATAGAACTCTACAAGAATAACATCATGGTTTTCAATTGTTCTATCAAAGTTTTTAGAATTCAAAACCATAACATCATCCTCTTCCTTGATTTCATCCTCGCTAGCTAACTTCGATTCAGAACTTTCTAATTCGGCTCCTTCTGATTCGGATGCTGTCGTCTCGACCGGCTCTAACTTCTCATCTTTGTCCGTTTCTTCYTCTGCAAACACTAAGAATGCAGACACGATAAACAAAAGAAGAAGAAATGTTAAAGTTTTTATAAACTTCATTTTACAAGTTGTCCAATACTTTCTCCGTCGGCCGTCCGTATGATGAGAGGATTCCCGTTTACAAAGAACCTTTTATCCAATCAGCATTCGACATGTCTTCAATCCTCCGCCAATCAGATTMTGCAAAATATCAATCCAATCACACGGCGCTGACGGCGCTAGGAAGGTATAAGTTTTCCCACAATACAATCCTTAATATCGCTTTTGTCCTTCTCAATGAAAACAGTGCTAATTGAAAGGAATAACAACCGATTATTATAGTGTAAGATAGTTTGTGGTAAAAGATTGGCTCCATTTAGTCTCCATATGTAAGGTGAATCGAATAAGCAAAATTTTGTTTGTCWAAGCAGCGTAACCATAGTCCCTTTCGGTCGTGCGATCACCCTTCGACAATCGCCGTTTGGTAAATAAGTTGGTGTCGAGCAGACGAGACCGGAAGTCGCGGCTGTTGAAAGAGACTACACTCCGTGTAGCGAATACAGGGGTGTTCCTCCCCTCCCCGACCCTGGTTTAGCCTCTGGTTCCTTCCACAAGAGAATTTGATTGGGCTGCCTGTCGAATTACATTTTTATGTGCTTGGGGTTCCTGTTTTATTTCTGCTCCATCCCGTGCCGACCCGTGCCTGCACTGTGCACATGTAGTTTCAAAATGGCTCAGGGGACATTCATATCGGTATGAAAAGTTGTCATAATTCCAACATAGTTTGTCTGCGCCACCTATTTTGATRTAGAAGACTTTGTTCTTCAACTTCTTGTTATTTTGATGATATCTCTGTCATTCAGATACCAGATAACTATACTGGCTTTCCTTTGGATATGTTTTGTATACCAAAACATTATGAAGAAGATCTGAAACATGTCATGCTCCCTAGAGGGATTTTGCTCGATAGGTAAGCCGTCCCAGGCTTTTGTGTAAACTTGGATTCGCAAGTTTAGCAATATAGAAGGGGCGTATAGTAACGGCCGGGAGTCTGGATACCGCAATACYACACACACACACATACATCAAATTCCAGTTATCGCAACTAAATTTGTGAAAATGACGATGCCGTAGAGATACTGCGACACAATTTGTTGCGACGTTGTCAGCCGACATTCTTTTTGGACTGTGATAACCGACCCSTTGAGATAAGCAAGACATTAAACGACTATAACAGACATAGAGAGGCTGTTAACATTGACATGATGACCTCTTAGCCGCTGACAGGGCATGACAAAGTCTGAGTCACATGCAGATTTCTATCCTACATGTAATTGAGCCATATAAACAYTGATTATTTTAAAAGGATTGGGGCAGTACTCAGCTTTTTCAGTGTCCATTAAATTCGTTTTGGCATATATAATTACTAGGGAATGTGTCATCGCATTGTATWAAGCAACCAAAAACTTTGTTTGGTTTGTTTGAGAAACACGTGATAAAAGCATACACCTTGATTGTTTTAKTGCTCAAAATACCATGCATTCAGTACMAGGAAAATGGAATTATKTKATTACAATTTTGCTTTTTGCTGGTCAAATTTGTCCAGTTTTGAAAATAGAAGACATTTTCCATACATTGTACCTAGAAATGTCTATTCAAAATTAGTATAAACATACTAATGGTCTATCACTCATACTGCGCTGTGATTGGCTACTCTACTAATGGTCTAATTTGTGATAGACCACTCGCGGGAAAATCAAAATAAATAAATTAAAGATTATAAATTATTTTAAGGATATTTCAATTTGTTTTCATTATTTGACCGATTAGTATGTTTATACTAAAACAATTAGACCTCTCGGCCTCGTRGACTACGAGCTAATAGCCCATTCGGCCTCGCWGACTCGGCCTCATGGGCTATTAGCTCRTAGTCCACTCGAYCTCGAGGTCTAATTGTTAATTATGCAACTTTTCAGTAAAATCAGACGTTTTGATTGGTTGGCTTTCGTGTGTTATCAAAGTATAGATACATGGATTACGTCAAAACTAATTGTTTGTTGYATAAAACAGATAGATCTTATTTTTCCGTGTGTGTGTACTCTAATAGATACACAGATAACGTCAAAATGTAGTGAGAACAACAGTCACGCACTCGACTGCGTCTCRTGCGTACTTTTTTGTTCTCACTACATTTTGAYGTCATCTGTGTATCTATTAGAGTACACATGCACGGAAAAATGAGATCTATTTGTTAAATAGASGAGAGGGTGAACCACAAAACATTCTACAATTGTGGGCATAAATACTTGACAATTTTTCACTTAGCAATTACAAATACTGTATTGTGTGCATCAACTGAAAATATACCCCTTCCCTCCCTTCCCTTTTGTATTAGGGGGAAGGGGGGGCATGAGGAAGGTTTTATTGACGAATAGTGTGAGAAATSTTGTGGGTGCGAAAAAATTGTCAACATTTATGGCCAAGATTGTAGCTCGTGTTTCAACACTCTCTGAATGCTTTGTAGAGTGTTTGCTATGGATTACATCATGTGTTTATTCCAAATTTTCACGAGAAACAAGGAAGAAATTCGATTCCGACTGTCAAAAAGTATTAGTCCTCAAATCAATAAAAGYCATGAGATGTTTTGAAATACAATATTAGGAACAAATGGGTAACATTTTGGGAAGAATATATGATKTCTCTCAATGTAAGTGATTAAAATGACACTGAACTGGCAGTCAGGCATTAAAGAATACATACATT